TGATTATTTTCTTCATGAACTTCTAACTGGGTAGTTAATTCTTGGAGAATTTGGATTTTTTGGGTTAATTCTAACTTATTTTCTAATTGATTCATAACTATTCGGTTGGTTTATTTTCTTCAGACTTTTTCTTTTCCGCATTATATCAGTTAAGATATTGACATCCTGCCACTACTAAAGGATAAAGTAAACAAATGGGATCTAAAGAAAACTGGTTAATTCTTTTCGCTAGTTCATTCGCTAGTTCTCGATCCGTGTAATCCTTTAATTTGCCGGTCATTCTTTTAAGATTAGCAAAAATTTCTCCTAAATTTCTTAAGATTGGAGCCAGATTTATAACCTTTCCTAGATTAGGATATTCATGATCGGCACCATACTGGTTGAGTGCTTGGACTGCACTACTTCACTTTTGGCAAAATGCAACCAGATTAGCCAATTTTTTTCCTAATTCTATTTGATAATTTCCTTTAGAATTAAAAGGATTGTGATCTCAATTTCAAAATTCTTTTAGTACTTTTAAAATTTCTTTTTCTTCTTCGGTTAATGCTGTTGCTTTTAGTAATTCATTATTCTGGTTGTTCATATTCGTTTAAATATTTTGGGTTGCTTTTAACTTGCTTAATTCATTCATAAATTTCTCAGTAATATTACAGTTAGGAGTTATTTCGATTAACTTTCGGTTAATTAATTCTTGGATGAGTTGAGCAGTGGTAAATTGGGTTGGGTTATTCATATATTTCAATGCTTTTAACTTTATAAAAAATCCCATTTTTATCCTTATTCTCTAACTCTTGATAAGCAATTAGGGCTAACTGATTGATGAGTTTTTCCGGAGCTTCTTGTAAAGTTCGGAAAGTTTTTACTGGGAAATTATAACTAAAAGCATAAAAGCAGTTGGGTAAACCCCGGAGAGTTAGTTTAAAATAAAGATTTTGGTTTTTATCTAACTTAGTTTCAATGTCTTGAATGGTGGTTTTGACAGATAATTCAGTGTGATTCATAAACTTTTAATTGATTACTTCTCTTTTGCTAATTTCTGATACTAATTCTTCCTTGGTTAAGGATTGAGCCAGTCAGTTACTTTTGGCAATGAAAGCCACTTCTTTTTCGATGGTTTCAGTCAAATTTTCTTTGATTTCACTCGTGAGTTGAGGTCGCTTATGGTTAATACTTAATCAACCTAAAATAGTTAACAATACCTCTTCATCTTCGGCAAAATCTCTTAATCTTTGCAAAGTTCCAATTTCTTCCATTTGGCAGATAAAAACATTTAAAAAATCCTTGCTTTGCTTTTCTTTGTGGTTAATTAGTGCTTGAATTTTGTCTTTTAGTTCCGGATTCATATCATTTTTATTCTAAAAATAATTTCGAAGAATAAAATCATAGATTTTATCTTTCATAATTCTTAAAAAAATTCAATTGGTTTAGGATTTTGACAGGAAGAACAAATCTTTGCTTTTTCTCAAAAAACTAAATATTTCGGTCAACCAAGTCATTTGTGGCATTTAAGGCAGTAATTGTATTTAGTCATGGCATTTTTCTTTTTTTGGCATTTTTTTCTAATGGGTGGGTATTATATATTCGTAAGAATATTTTCTCCACCCTTAATGTGTGGTGCTTTCAGTTTATCAAGGCACTACTTTTTTCAACGATTTATACGCTTCACCCCATAAATGGTGTTCCGCTCCCATTTTATTCGTTCTTTGACTCAATAGTGCTTAATTTTCCCGCCTTGATGAACCTTTTCAACTTTTATTATTAGTAAATAATTAGAGTTGGTGTTTTCCCCCTTAGCGGATTGCTTTTTAAACCATGCTTTCTTGAACAACTTATCGAGTTCTTTGAGGAACTAAAATGGTTTGCTTTTTACTTCGTTTTCGCTTTTCAACTTTATTTAGTTGTGAATCTTCGCGGTCTATTTTTCTCTATTTTTTAACCCTATTTTCAACTATAAAAAGAAACAACCAGAGAAAAAATAAAAGCAAAAAATCCTCCAAAAAAATAAAAATTAAAAAAGAGATTAACAAAGAAAAAGTGATTTAAAACTTTTCTTCGCTATTGTTTTGCTAAACAATTTGCAAGAAAAAGTAATTATTGCTCTTCTTTACTTAATTAGATTAGTTAATAATTAGAACCAAGTATTATAAACATTAAAAGACGGTTATCTAATTAGAGTAATAAAGAGTCAGAGGCAATTAATCTCTGAAAAAATAAAAGAATTACAAAATAAAACTATTATTATTAAATAACTATTAAGCGCCTATAGCTCAGTGGATTAGAGTGTTTGACTTCGGATCAAAAGGTCGTGGGTTCAAATCCTACTAGGCGTGCCATAAGATATCATATAACTAGGTGATGAAGCAAATTTAATTTAATAAAAACTAATAATAAGAAACAATGACCGATAAATTAACTTTTTTTATTACTGTAATTAAATCAACCAACGAACTGGTTATTCAAGAAGGAAATCTAGTTAATATTAGGATACCAAAGCACTGGCAAAAACCTGATTCTAATGTTGCTAATCCTGCCTTGTGAGTTTGTCATTTAATGAATAACTCCACCGGAATAGAGTTAGTTAGTTTTTATCCTAGTGAATTAGTTATTAAAAAGCACGGAGTCATTTATCGAGGAAAACTTGATCCTAGTGGTTTTAATGAGAAAGAAGAATTTTATCGTTGCGAGTTGTTTCGAGAAGAAACGCAAGGAACCAGTTGACTTGTAGTGTTTTTAATCTTAATCATTATTGTTTTAATAGCAGGAGCATTTGCTGCAAAATAAAAGTTAATTTAAAGAGTTTAGAGATAAAAATAGTAAAATTAAATTAAATTATGTTTGACTGACTTAAAAGATTTTTGGAATGACCCAATGGTGGGGTAAATAATGTTAGTGAGTTAGGAAGTTACATTAAGGGAAAATGATTAAACTTAGTTATTTTTTTATTGGTTTTAGTAGCGATTATTTGAATTTTTATGATGCTAATTAGACTGATTAAAAGTTTATTTAAGTAATCGAGAGGAGAGTCTTTTTGCAACGAAGACAAAGGTCATTTTCTAGATCTTTTCAACTTCGACAACGCAAACAACGTTCTTTTTCAGTTTTTTCAACATAAACAAAACAAAGCTTTCCTTCGTGCATTTTTTCTTTGGACTTTTCTTGGAATTTAAGTTCGGCTACACCTAATAATTCAACCAAATTTAACTCAGAATAATCTAATTGCTCCTTTTTTTTTAGATAAATTGTTAATTTGGCTTGGTTATTGGCAGTAATAGTTTTTTCCTGACGAGCCTTTTCTAAAGCCTGAAAAATATCTTGGCGTAGAGGAAAAAAAAGGTTGTTAATTATTTCTAATTTTTTTTCAAAGTTATTTGGAAAATCTATGGTAAATGAAAAATTTGCTAAGTAAACACTTTCTTGACCAGCAAAACCAAATTGAAAAGGAATATTTTGATAAATTTCTTCCGCGAGGTAAGGCAAAATTGGTGAGATGACTTTCAATAATCCTCCTAATAAGTAATAAAAAGTAGTAATGATTTGCTTTCGTCGTGGTGAAGAAATTGGATCACAATACAAATTATCCTTACTAATATCCAAATAAAAGGAACTTAAATCATTAATGCAAAAGTTTAGCAAAGAAGAATAAATAGGAGTAAAGTTATATTTTGTGTAATTTTGCTCACTTTCTTTGACTAATTTTTCTAATTGATGAAGTGTATAATAATCTACTAAACTTAGATTTTTTTCTAAATCTTTCTCGCTTTTTAGTTCTGGTGGTAGATTAGTTAAATTTCCTAGTAAAAAACGTAGGGTGTTACGGATTTTTTGATAGTTTTCTTGAACTTTTTCTAAAATGGAAGTACTGACTTTTATTTCTTTAGTGAAATCAGAACTAACTACCCATAAACGAAGTACATCTGCTCCAAACTTGTTAATAATTTCTTCCGGATCAATCACGTTGCCTAAGGATTTAGACATTTTTTGTCCTTTTTCATCAACCACAAATCCGTGGGAAAGCACTTGTTGATAAGGGGCTTGGTTAGTCAGAATAACTGAAGTAATTAAGGAAGAATTAAATCAGCCGCGAAATTGGTCTTGGCCTTCAACATAAAGGGTTGCTGGTCAATTATTTTTTTTTTCTTTATTTTTCATATATTCTAAATGATGTGTTACTATAGTAGTTCTTTTTTGAATTCATCATCAAAGTTGCTCTCTTCATTTTTGTTATAAAAAGGCATTCCTAAAATGATATATTCTTTATCTTCTCATAGTTGTTCAATTTTGTATTCTTTTTTGAGTGAAACTAGAAATTTTTGTTTTCAAGCATCTCTTTCTTTCAGATGGTTACCCTTGGGTTCGACAAATATTTGATAATGAAAACTTCTCGGAGAATTTTTTTGTTGTAAAAAAAGAATGTAGTCCGGTTCAAGCGAACTTCCATCTTCAAAAGTATAAAGTTTAAAAAAGCGTTCATTTCGAACTAAATAAATTTCGTCATATTTTTCTTGTAATTTGTCGTAAATTTTATCAATATATTTCACAAAATGTTTTTCCTCCGAAGTTCCAAAGCAATCATCAAATACATACCAAGGTTTGCTGCTGATATCAAGATAAATGTTCGTCTCACTAACGTCTTTCATTGACTTACCTAGTTCTCTTTCTTTATTTTCATTATCAGTAGCAAAATTGAGGACTTTATCACTAATCTTCTCACGGAGAAAACATTGCTTAAATTTTTTACTTCCTCTTCACTCTAAATTTTTAGTTGCTAAATTGGTCGAGATTTGTTCAAGTATTTTTCTTACAATAGTTAATTCCTCATCGGGAGTTAGTGGCTGTTCTAATTGATTTGCAAGTCCAGAAACAACTATTTTGATATCTCCAAGGTACTCTTTCTGAGAAATAAATTCATCAAGAGTATCAAGATTAGGAAAATATTTCTTAAGATTAAAAAAATTATAAAAAGAAAGTTTGTAAATAGCTTTTCTTACAACCGTTACGCTAAATTGCCTGAGATAAAAATCTTTTTCTTTTCGTTCAACTCCTTTTTTTTCTATTTCTCTAAAGAGATCACTCGAAAGATTGAATCCAGTTCACAAGGTTGCCTTATAAACAGTATCTCGTACCGAAGATGGTAGTTCGAACACGTCCTTTCGGGAATATTTTTCTTTCTCATTAAGAAATAAAAAACCAGTCTTATAGAATTTAGTATTTTTGAAATCTTTCTTAACAAAAAGTTTTTTTTCCACTGCTCTTTCAGGAATAATGCCAGTTTTTACTAGAACAGAGGTCAGTTCTTGGATATACCGAGGATTATAGGTGCTATGGTAATACAGTTCTTCACAAATTCGCATCTCGTTTTGGATATCGCGATCATATTTTCGTTGGTAGGCATTATCAAAATCATCAGTTTTAAAGGGACAATATCTAGCTCCTCTTCCGATCAACTGAGCTTCTCGAATAGTAGTCGGTCCAGGTACGTTATTTTTGGCATCCCGTGTATCATAAAGACGGACAATATCAAAAAGATTAAGCACATCTCAACCTTCATTAAGTTTATCAACCGCAAAGATAACACGACACTCATTATGAAAACCTTCCAAAGTATTTACCAAGATTTGCTTTTCTACACTTTCCTCTTTGCTGTTGACCGAAATAGTTTTTTTGGAGGAAAAATCCTCTTGCAATTCGATAACAAAATTCTCCAGCGAAATCTTATTGTTTTCTAAATATTCAAAGACTTTTTTTAATGTATCATCTTGAGCACTTGCACTAATTTCGGAAAGTTTCTTGGCAGTTAGGTTCCTTATACCTTTTATAAACTCTTCTTCAAAAACCTTGCTTTCATTAATTGTCTTTGACTTGAAAAGGATAACTGGCTTGATGACTAACTTGTTTTTTTCAAATATTTTGCGCCGATACTGACTAAGCAAAACGGCTTGTAATGCTCGGTCAAAAAGTCCCGCATCAGTTTGCATTACTTTTACTTCTTTAGAATACCCATCTTCCCGGAATTTTTTTAAAGGATAGTCATAAATAAGTCTTCCGGCGTATTTTTTTAGAATATTAGGATTGTTAAAGTCAACAGTTGCGGTGAACTCTAAAAGTACATTTTGAGGATTAGCCTGAAATATTCGGTTAACAGTATTTTCTCAAGAAACAATCTCCTCTTTTTCTTCTTGAGAAATTTGACCACTGATAGTTATTTCGCCACCTGTATTAGTTTGAACTTTAGCCTTAGTTTCCACATTAATGTGGTGAGCTTCGTCAGAAATAAGAACAATTTTTTGTTCTTGAAAGTCTTCATAAGTCAAACTATTCTCCCGTGGAGTATTTAAATGGCTGTGAAGACCTTGAATAGTTGAGAAACAAATATTGATATTTTCTTCACTAGTAGTCTGAAAGTTTTCTACTTCTTTAAGAGATATTTTTTTACCATTCAACGCAAGTACTTTATTAAAGAGGTATTTAATAGAAAGTTCATTCAAAAAATTATCCCGTGTTTTACCAATAATATTAGTACTGTTAACAAAAAAAAGAAAGTTATGATAGCCTTGTTGGTACAAATATAAAATCAAGCCCGCCATCATGAGAGTTTTGCCGCTACCAGTTGCCATTAGAAAAAGAAGTTGGTGCTGTTTTGGTTTGTCATGAAATTCATTTTCTCAATATTTAAGGAAATATTTGAAAGCCTCCTCTTGATAAGGACGAAGAGGAAAGTCAGGATTAAGGTTTTCTTTTATTATCTTTGGAAAAAGGGCACTCTTTATTTCTCGCCTTCCAAACTCTTCGAGTAGTTTTTCGTGTAAAAATTTGTTTCTCTCCATGTTTCAACTTTTATTTAATTATCTCAGCCAAAAACTTTCTTAACTTTCTTTTCTATTTCTTGATAATATTTGGGGTCTAATGTTCCTAGTTTTTTTATAATCCGACTATGATTATAAGTTTTGATTTGGTCGGGTAAAATTTTTCCTCTTTTTCCTTGAAAATTAATCAAAATTTCAAACGAATAAATTTTGTCAAACTTTTTGCTGGTGATGGGTAAGAAAATATATCTTTTTCCTCATTTGTTTAGTTCATTGCTCGAAACAATTATTCCCGGTCGGGATTTCATAATTTCGGTTCCCTCTGTTTCTTTTGAGTTGGTTCTAAATTTGTAAATTTCTCATTGTTGAGCAGGTGGAAATTTCTCTTTGTTTTGTTGACTTTCGTTTACCATTCCTCACCAATTACATCTTCCCCCTCAGCGTTTTCTAGTTCTTGGGCTTCTTTTTCCCGTTCTTTATCTTTAATTGCTTTACCATAACTAGAAAAAATACTTTCTTTTTGGTTATTTATTGCTTGATAAACTTCATAATTAATATTCTCCTGATTTAAATATTGTTCCAAACTGTCTAATTTACTTAATTTATAAATAAAAGGAGCCAATTTTTCCCCTCTTTCTTTTTTTAATATTTCTCGCACTACACTATAATCTTTGGGGGTAATAGTAGACTTAATATAAATAAGTTTCATAATATAGTAATTTTAGGAGAGGGAGGTATATGTCTGTCTATATTATTAAATTAAAAAATTATTATTCTTTTTTAAGAACCAGTTTTATTTTTCAAAAGTTCTATAGCCAATAAAGTAAAGTTTGCTGGGATGCCTATTAGTTCAAGCACTAACTTTACTCGTTTCGCTTTTTCTCATAAAGAAGTGTTTTTAGCCCCTTTTTCGGTAGGAAATTTTTCAATTAGTTTAAGGCAAATTTCGAAAATCTTATCACGCATAACTTTAACCTCTTTTAATTCATTAGTTAAATCACGAATTTCATTTTGTTTCTCAATTCACTCTTTACTAGTAATATTAGGTCGAGCATCTCGCTCGGCGATTAATTTATTTCTTTCAATTAGCAAATCACTTGCCGCTTTTTCCAAAATAGGTATTTTTTCTAATTTTATCTTGTATTTTAAAGGCAATTCTATTTCTCAATCTCTTCAGCCGGAATATACTACATTTTTAATAATTAATTTCCGTTTTTAATACAAATTTTATAATCATCTCTCAACTTCTCTTTTACAATTC